TTGCAAGTTGTAAAAGCAGTTTGTGAGGAGGTCTGAAGTCCCGACTTACGAAGAGCTGTGATGCTTTCATCCAGGCTCCTCGGGGCTCCCAAGTGGATGGAAGCCGGCATCTATGAGTGGCCAGGAGCAAAGTTAAATCTTTGCAGAAGGATTGTTTCGGAGTTCAGGCTGCATGTGCCACCTAATAATGGAGAATCAAATGGAAAAGAAAATGGTAGATTAATTTGAAACTGGGATCATATAGGGGATTATAGGGGTTAGAACTTGTCAGTTTTGTTGCTTTGGCTTTTGGAATGTGCTGCGCGCCGCAGATCCTCTTCCTTTGCAGGACACGGCACTCGTGAAGGCGAGCCCTATGCAGAGAACTTTGAGGCAGTCGCATGGTAACCCTTGACCCCCAAAATTGAATTTAAAGGCCATTAATTATCGTACTACTAGATCATTGTTCTGATTCTTCTTGTATACTTGGGTTTGCCTTGGCCTTTTCTGGGGCGAGGTCTTCATCCTGCATGCCTCAAGTTGTCCCTTCCCATGGGCCTAGGGCTTGTGTGAAAGCTGCAGCTCTGTTCACAGTGGTGCCGTGGCGGTAATCCCCAAACTCGACGAAAAGAGGAACTTTTCGGCAGCAAGCCCAAGAATGACTCGATGCATGATATGTTTGCATGGTTTGCATATAATATAATATAACCCCTATATAATCCCAGTTTCCATTTCATTTTCCATGTTCTTTTCCATTTGATTCTCCATTATTGGGGTACCATGCCGCGGCCCCATCTTCGGAATGCTGTAGAGTACTCATGGGTCTTCAATATTGATCGCTGCACACCCAAAGCATGAAAACCCCGGAAGCCGCAAAGACCTCGACGACTCAACCCTGCAGAGCCTCAAAACGCGTCCCCTCCCAGAAGGCTTGTGGCAACCCCAAACCCTGAAATGAAGGCCCAACTCTTATCAGATGACGACCAGTCCCATTGGCGAGTTTCCAAAACACACCCACGCTATCCCAGTGTTCATAGTTTGTTTTTCCAGCTGGTTATTCTCCATTATTCAGGTAGTATCCCTACCCTTGTATCACGGTCTAATCCTATATGGACCCTATGTACTATATCCTATAATCCTTTAGGCTCAGTTCATTTCCTACCCTAAACCCTAACCCCCAAACCCTAAAGCTTTGTAAGCCTTAAGCCCAAGAACCGTTTACCTAACCCGGCAGGCGCTGGCAAAGGATGCCCTCGATCACCTCACGCCCATGCTGGATCAGGCAAGCCTTGCCTACCTCTTTTGTAGGGTTTATATAGAGGATATATAGGGGATACATAGGGGCTCTATGGGCCATATGGGGTTATATATGGGGATACACAGTGTTTGGGGTTTAGGGGTTTCGGGCTTAGGGTCTGGGGGTTCAGGGTTATAGGGGCTAGGGGCTTAGGCGGTTTAGGATTTGGGGAGACTGTTCTTATTGTCCTTCTTACCATCATTATTAGTTCTATCAATATTGATACATTGTTATTGCCCGTATTATTACTGTTGGTTTGAGCAAATAATGTAGACCTCACCCCCTAGATCTTAAACCTCGCATGGTCGTTAATACGAGGGAAAGTGGTCCTAAAATGGCATTACTTGAGGCCGTGGAACTCCAAATCTGCTGGTGTTAGTGTTAGTAGGCCAGTCAGGAAAGTAAAATCAAAATGGAAATTGCAATCAAGTGCAAGGTTTAGGGCTTAGAGTCGAGAAGACTAATACGTAAAAGTTTAATAATCAGGATAGCTGAGGTTATTGAATAGCTGATAGGGATTCTAAGTACGTTTCCTTGCTACGTCCCACTGACCCTCCAAGTTAGCATTAAAGGGCTTGAGGTATGAGATTTAGGAATGCAAGCGCGGACCCCAGATCCTAATCCCTGCATTCCCAAAAAAAATCCTTACATGCCCCAATACTACAATACGTTTGCGGACCTGAACAGAATGACTTTCAATTCTCGGAAACCCTAAACCCTAAACTTTAAATCCTGAACCCTAAATCCTAAACCCTTAACCCTTCCCTCCAGGTGAAGGAAGGTGGCGAGTTTGAGGGCGCGCCCTTCGCCTTCATCGGCAAGTCGGCGGGCCATGCTGCAAGGGTACCAGGAGAGGATTTAGGGTTTAGGCAAAACGAATCATCATAAGTTAGGGGCGTTTGGAGCGTTCTACTTGTTCTCAAAACTATGACCCCTTTTAGATATAGGGTTGAGGGTTTAGGGTTTGGAATTAATCATAAACAGCGTTCGGAGAGTTCTACTTGTTCTGAAAACTATGGCCCCTTTTAGATATAGAGTTGAGGGTTTAGGGTTTAGAATTCATCATGAGGAGCGTTTGGAGAGTTCTGCCCTTTCTCAAAATGATTTCCCCTTTTAGATATATATTTTATGGCACCTCACATTGAGGGAAATCGAACATTTAGGGATGCCAAAATTAGACTAATCTTGGGAACTACCTATATGTGGTTGTCTTACCAACATCCTGTCATTGTCCAAGGTTTAGGGTTTGGAGACCAAAGTTTCCGGAAAGCGCCCCAAAACCCCGTCGTTCTTCCACCCGATGTAGAAAGGTTTAGGGCTCAAAATTTTGGGGTTGGGGATCAGGGTTTAATGTTTAGTTAGGGGGGAAAAAGGACCATCGAGTTCTGCTTCAATCCGTAGGGGGATTTGGTAAACTTGATACCCAAACCAACAAGCGTCATTTGATGGTCATCAGTTCCCCATTACGGTCACCAATGTCTCTTGACTGCCCAGCCAGCCCCAAGAAAGTGAAGTGCCTGATTATAGGTTCTGTTGTGTGTAAACAGGGCTCAGCCGCAATCGTGGTGGGTGTGTGTATTGGGTGCCCAGTTGGGGAGGACCACCTCAAAATACTACCCCATGTAAATCGATACCCACTGCTCAAAACTAGTCTCCAGAATGAGCACATTCGAAGAAACTTGAGAGCTCAGTTCTACAACGCCTTGTATTTGAAAGAATTTGACCAAAATGCCAAGCTTTCGGCAAAGCTTCGAGCGCCTACCTTGTACTTGATTTAGTCGTCCCGCAGGTCGCCTTACAAGTGGGTGCTCCACGCGATAACCAACGAAAAAGGTCTCACCTTAACATTTCTGGGCTTTGCAGCGTTGTTGGATCTTTGTTTCCTGGAAAACTAGACAACTAGGGGTTCGACAGGGATAATGGAAAATAAAATGGAAACTACTATATAGTAAATTGGGGTTATATAGGGATAATGGAAAAATGGAAACTACTATTCCTTCTTAGCTGAACCCTAAGCCTCAGAACCTTGAAAGGGCCTTGGGCTTCCCGGCCGTTGTCTAGGTGGGCTGCCAGCTGCTCACTTGGCTTTCCAAGACCATTCTTGTGAAGAGCTTTGCCTTCACTATTTTCAGATGTAGGCCCTTGAATTTTTGAGAGGGTTCTAGGGGTTTTGAGATATTGTATAGGGTTCAGGGTTTGGGGTTAAGGTTCAGGGTTAAGTGCTCAGCTTAGTACTGAATTTTAGTTAGACGCCTGAAGCTTCAGGGTTTGGAGTTTGAGTGACGTTTGCCTTTGGAGATCTGTTGACGGGACTGGGTGTTGGCAGCCTCAAACACCAGCAGTGCTTTCTCAAGAAAATACATGGGCTCTATGGACCTCAACTTTTGACATTTTCGAAAGCTCCCGGGGACATTGGGTTCTGTCGAGCGTAGGGGGAACTTACTAAGTCGCCTAGTCTTTAGGAATGTTGTTTTGTGTTTTTGTTTGTGATAGAGTCATTGGCATGTTCCAAGAGAATGTCTACTAGCCTTAGAGAGGCATCATGTGATTCCTACACGACTCAATTGGTTCTCTGCTTCTTTTAGACCAGCAGTGCTTCAGGCACCTAGAGCTGAAAGACCCTACACTCCCCCAAACTAACATGGAAACTCATACAGCCCCCTTTTAAAGGGCCTGTAGTCTTTATGGGGCTATTTTTGGGTTTCCATGTTAGTTTCCGGGAGGGTAACCCCCAAGCCTGCCGGCCGAAGCCAGTGCTGCAACGGCTGACTACTGCCCGTGATTTGTTTTGCAATGTCTAGAAATCAACTTGATAGAATTCGCATAGGGACTCACATGTTCCTTTTGGTAGCCCCCCCAAAATTCCCTAGCCCTAGTCCCTCAAGAAGCACAAGGACTCAAGGTTCCTTGAGTAGAGCTGTAAAATTTGGGGGAAGGGAACCGTAGTCCCCACTACATGAACCAAGTGTGAGATTATATATCTGCTTGTTATGCTGTGGTCTACAGGAGGAAACTAATCTTACCAACCCCCCGAAGAACACTACTTACTACTCGCCTGAGATGTTGTGCGCGCTCTGCTTGGGCAAAGGCCCTAAACTGTAAAACGCGTCAGTCACCATTAAGCAGATAGAATATGGGGCATATGGGGGTCTTCTTATGGTTTTGCGCAATTGCATATTCGATCCACTAAAGGGTGACTAAAAACCTCAAACCCAAATGAGATCTCAGTATCTACTGGCACACCCGATAACTAAAGTAGGAGTTTCTCACATTGGTTTCTAAAAATCTCTTATGGGCACAGCTATTTCTGAGAAACTGCCAAGTGTCAGTTGGGGGGTTGAGGGGCTGAGCCACACTCAGGCATTAGAGCGTACCATACTAAGAAATTGAAGATTCAATGGCGAAGACGCTATATGGCATCCTTAAAGCCCTAAATCCTAAACCTAATGCGAAAACACCTAAACCCTAAACCCTGACCCTGGGGTAGGGACTGAGGGTTCCCTCGAATATCGGGGGGGTCCGTAACTGAGAATCCTGATGGAGGCCTTGAGGATGCTTTTCGGATTGCTGTGCGCCGGCCCTTTAAGCATCGCCGCGCTGCTGCGACCCAGACAGACTGAGTCTGCTTAATCAAGTGGGCGTGGACCCCCGTGCATTTCATGCAGACGTAAAAGTCCTCGGGGCTTTAAAAAAACACTGACTTCTGGCAGTTTCTGTAGCCAAGGTATGGGATCGGCCCTGCAGCTGTGGCCGTGATGGACCGAGCGCCGCCCCACATCCCTTTGCTGCTCGGATTTTTGGAATTACCACCCCCCAATAATAAAGGAAAATCTAATGGAAAGTGTGATTATAGGATACCTGGACCCCAGAAGTATGCAGAACAATGTCCGTTTGGGCTAGTTTTAGGTGTTTTTGGCTATTATATTACCATGTTACCTACTTTTGGGGTTCAGGCCCTATGGGTCCAATTTTAGTTAATAATCATAAACCCACCCAAACCCTGTACTACGATGACAATTACAAAAACCCAAATACCTAATTATTGGGTACTTGGACCCTAGACCCTAAACCCTGTATAAGCATTATTTCACACACACACATGTATGTATGTATGTATGTATGTATGTATGTATGGATGGATGTATGTACGTACGTACGTACGTACGTATGTATGTATGTATGTATCCCTATATATCCCTCTAAAGGGACCTAATTGTGGGGTACTTTGACCCTTGGGGCTTAGGGCTGTTAAGGGCTTCTCTTAGGCTTAGGTTGACCATTGCAATCACCATGGAACAGAAACTTGGATACTCCCCTCGCCCAACAAAAGTCATGTATACATAGTATCTTCGGAAAGGATTTAGTACACATAAGATGACAGGGCACTGTCCAGGGGTGTGGGCACGGTGTGGGCAGTAATCGTCCAAGCAACAATCTCCGTCCTGAAGCTTTTACTCTGTGACCTCAGTAGCAGATACTTTCAGGGTGTCTCGCTCGGGGGCGACGCCTAGCGTCTGAAACGCCAAACATTGATGTTCTAGTTGGAATGTAGACGGGTGCGACTTTGCTTCTTGGCTTTTGGTGAAAGATTGATGAGCAGCTTTGAATCCACAAGCCCGGCAGAGAATTCCTGTACAAGCTCTAGCATGGCCCCATAACTTCACAGCTCCAACATGAATTCAGATGTGGGCGTTTCTGAAGAAGATGCCGATGTAGTATCTAGCGCGGATCCATACCACCCCTATTATGGCATCAAAGGGTCCCTGATGATATGCCCCCCCCTTTTGAGAATATGTCCCCGTATTTATCTGAGACATAGCTTTTTGCCTGCTGGGTATGAATCCAAAATAGGAACCGCGTACCTTCCTGGTGAACCCAATGTGGAGATACGCAGACGGCAAGCAAAAACGTGACATGGGAGAGACAATAATCGTAGCAACAACAATATGTTCAATATGCAAGATGGTGATGAGCGACAATGAAGATAATACTCGCATCTACCTAAAAACGAGATGAAGCTCAGTAGCATAAGCAGAAGCATGTACAGAGTACTGGCGACCTGCGACACATGATTACTTAGTAATATGCACACGTGTGAGCTCATATGTGTACAGATGTTGTGTGTTGTGTCTAAACACACACACACATTGCATGCATAGATGGTTCAATTATGTTTACATACGACTGGTACATCTGTCACGGTTTCATGTAAATGCACAACGGGCCGGTCGCAAAATCAGGAATCCATTTTTCGGGGGGTCCACCCCTTTTGATTGGAACCTCCCATATGCATACATCTATACATAGAAGGACACAAGGTGTACATCTTACATAAACGCTAAGCATTGAACCCTCAAATCTATACCCAAGATGTTCATCCTAAACCCATAACCCCGAACCCAAAACTAACATGTACTCCCCATGTCATCTACATCCTAAACCCAAACCCAAGCCCCAGACCTGCAACCCTGCCATGAAGGTACGTCCTAAACCGTGCACCTGTGCGGAGGCTGAACGAGCACGGCCAGTCTGAGCTGAAGTCCAACCCAGAGAAGGTGGTCAAGGCCTTCAACTACATCAACTTCGAGGAGGCCGTATAGGGTTCAGGGTTTAGGTTTCGAGGAGGCTATCAGGCCATCCTCTGCAAAGGGTTTGGGATGCCTTGAACAGGCTCTGGGGTTAGAGAGGGATACACAGGTTTTAGGGCGGATTAGGGTGTACAACGAGAGGGTTTGCTCTTTTGGTGTTCATACCGGGGCCCTTCACTGATGGATATTCCCAAAATAGGAGACCCCAATGTCAACCCCCAAAATATTATAGTCCTTATTATGGGGACCCCCAAAAAGGTAGCCCAAATACATTCGATTTCGTATTGGAGCCTGGTGCCTCATCTCCTCTGGCAGGTGGACAAGAAGATGTGGGCGAAGGACTGGCCGGATCTTCCGCGGTTTGAGGGGTTCAGGGCTTAGGTTTTAGGTTTTACGGATCAAACCCTGAACCCCTAAACCCTAAGCCATTGTTCTGTGGTCCTACTCATGGGCCGCTATTGTGGGCCCCTGCCTGTTTCCTGGGTCCGAACTTTGGGGTCTTCATTGGGCTCGTAAGGTTTCCGGGTTTAGGGTTTAGTAAGGTTTTTAGTGGGTACTACGTTTATAAGGGCTACACGGGGGTATATGGGGTTTAGGGTTCAGGGTTTGGGTTGTTTTTTCCCCAAAATTAGGGGTACCTTTTTTGGGAGACCCTATGACTAATAAGGATTATAGTATATTCGGGTCTATATTGGAGTCTCCCTGTTTTGGGAAACTACCGAATATGGCTTTGCGAAAGCGTGCTTTGACGGTATAGGATCCTTAAAGATTATTCATGGTGTAACTGATGTACGTTCTTTATGCATGCCTATGGGATCTTTGGGTTCTCGCAAATCTTGTGATCTAGATCTTCGTTGACTCCTCGATGACAGGTACAAGCCCTCCATTTGGTATTCACTGTCGCGATGGGGATTTATTTGAGGGGCATGAACATTCCTATGTCTGTTGTTCTCTCGCTCGTAGGAAGGTAATTTTTTAAATGTGACATTGACATGTATCGTGGCCTTTGTACTGGTGCCCCTTTCATGTTGGAAGCTACCCGGAATTTGTTTCCTGCATACCGCCACCATATGAGTACTATTCCTAGTTGAGTGCTCATACACCAAGGCAGCTGTACGCCCTGCCTCTCTTACTTATCTATCCCCAGAAGCATGATGAGATGAGTCTTATTCCAGGGCCTCCAAAACAGCCTAATTCTTTAAAAGCCTCACGTAAGCATCCTCGGGAAGGACCTCAGCTATGCGAATGAGACGCTAGATGCTTTCTACCACAAGTTCGACTGCCCGGTCATGGTGTTGAAGGGGCAGCGCCTTGCTTCCAAAACGAGCTATAGTCTAACTCATTAAAGGGAACTGTATGGGGGAGTAGTATAGGAAGAACGGGCAGCACCTTTCTTCCAACATGATTTTTTTTATGTTTTTTTGGGCCCAGTTTCCATTTCATTTTCCATTTTCTTTTCCATTTGATTCTCCATTATAGGGCCCTAAACCCTATATTATTGGGTACCATCAGGGCTCGGATGAGGCTTTACGGGGGATGATAAGCCGATACAAAAAGATGTGCCATTCATTGGCCGGAGAATCTCTGCTTCACCATCAAAACATTGGGTCTAGGGCTTATAGGATTTAGGGTTTAGGTTTAGGGTTATAGGGCAGCTGCACTTCAGATGAAGCATGATGAGGCCTACACCTAGACTACAGGTAACTTGAACCCGTACCTCGCAGCACTTTCAGGATCCGTGATGAATGATGAACCCCAGTTCGGCAAAACCCCAAACCCTAAGCCCGAGGTTTGACGCAGCCAGTGACACCTTCGGTCCCTTGCCTGCATACGTGAAGCTAACTGACCTGGATCTCTGGGTAGGCCCCTGGGATATATAATATTTTCCCTAATGGCTTTAATAAGGGACCCTATATCCTAATATTTTTCAAAGGGTTTTAGGGGCCAACCCAGATCTTTTGGCAGTAAACCATCCCAATGGGTCTATGTAGGTATATCCTTGTTCATGCTCCCATACAGTAATTGTCCGTAAACGGGTTTTACTCAGGGGCTGTTATATATGCTATTGCCTATTGTGGTAGCAGTTAAGGTATCTCGTATACTCTGGGGCCCCGCCAGCAGTTATATGGGAAGCCTTGTAGGCGGTAAGCATATGAGCTATAGACTAAACTCCTAGTATCCCCCGAAATAAGCGTTACGATAGTCTCCTATATATCTGAAAAACCTCCCTTTCAGGAGTTTAGACCCTAGACCCTAAACCCTATGGAATCCCTGTGGGAACCCCCTTTAAGGAGTTTAGGACTATACCTCATATATGCTATATGTCTACAAATCTACGTGGGCGCTTCGAGCGTGGGGTGTGCATGTTTTCCTTCGGAGGGACAACGCGGACTTGAAGAATCCTTTGCCTCGAAGAGTTTGCTGAAGCTCCTACGGTTTCGGGTTTAGGCTCCCCCTACACTACATCATAGTTTTCGTCATCATAGTAATGGTAATAGGAACCATAGGGGTCCTCCGGTGGAAAGACACAACCCCGCATGACGCTATGTACCCAAACCCTAGGAACTTGTGGTAGTATACTATACTTGAGGTCAAGCAGGATCATCACCGTCAGCTGCAGTGGCACCTGAATCTGAGGAAAGAAGAAGAGCAAGTTCAAGGCCGTCACTGTGAAGATCAAGGGTTCCGATGAGACGGTTGACCTGCCTACCGAGTCCGATGCTTGCCTGGGTACCCCAGTAGTATCCTTTTCCCCTTTTTTATTTGGGGGTTCCTTATTGAAGCTGAATAGTAGGAAAAAGGGTACCCTTATTATTCAGAAGTTACTGGGGAACCTAGTTGCTGAGCTCTCGACATTAATCACCAGAACAGCATGTAGTAGTGATGGTAGTCGTGGCGGCAGCAGTAGAAGTATCAACAAGAAGGGACAGCAGTGCTTAGAATTACAACAGTAGCAAGAGGGGAGGGCCTTCCGAGTTGACGGGTATTGTTGATTTGATAGATCCAAGCTGCTATAATAATTTCGGTGTTTAGGGTTCAATGCCAGGCGGGCAAGTCGGGTTGGTACTCAAGACCCACTGCAAAAAGGGTGCGTTGAACAACCGTGGACTCTGAGTAAGTGAGGATGAAGGAGCCAGGTTGTCTCTTTGAGTCAAATGCTTTTCGAAGTTTCAGGAGGTCTTGCAAGCTCACTTACGTTGTTTTCAGACGAGGCTGTTTTGGATCCGCAGCCTCTTTCTCTCATAGAGCGCTCGCCTGTTGAACCCATGCGAGTGACATGCCCACGCTCATTTGTCAAGCTTTTGCAGGTGGTCTCAATTGCCGAGAGCCATGGTTGCCAGTTTTCTTCTGTTGGCATCATCAGCTATTGAGACAGCCAAGCATTGAATGAGTGAAGCAGGTGCTGCGCCATGCAATTAAATGATGAATTAGTACGCATGGCACCACGGCTGGAAGTCCTTGCTCAGAATTTCCATCGTCGGCACGATAAGAGTGTGGCCTTCCGCAAATTCACGAAGAAGGCGCATGACTGCAGCAAGCAACGCGCACGGAGATACGCAGCCCATGTGGCTGCCTGGATTGCTTATGGCCCTCCAACCTATGTCCCTGGGCACACAGAATTGACGCTGTTGCATGACTTCTTGCTAAAGCTTGGTGGGGGCCAACTGCCTGCTCGGCTGGAAGATGTCCTACCCCGAGCGCAGTCGACGCTTGAGGGTATGAGCGTCGAGAACTCATCCTGCAGAGAGCTTGGGGAGAAGCTGAAGGAGAGGCTTCGCCACTTTCAGTGCTGCAGAGGCGCCCAAACCCATGAAAAGAACAAGGAGGCTCATGCGGTGGTGAATGACGAGGATGAAGACGAGGAGGAGTCATGTCATGTGGTTGAGGTCGAGTCTTCCGAAGAAGATTGCCAGGAATCCCGAGCGTCATCGCTGCAAGATGCAGGGCTCCCAGCAGCAGAAGTATGCCAAGGTCCCAACTTCTCGTCGCAGCAACTCTTCAACAAGATGAACGAATGGACAAACACGCCAAAGGACGCTCGGCTTACGGGTATACGGTATACCCTTATTCCAAGTTTGAAGGTAGGCGTGAAAGGTAAACAAGCTTCCTTAAATTTGGAAGGACAGCTTATTTGCCCTGATCCGCTGGCAGAGTTAGGAAGAAAGGTCGGCCTTTCTTCAGAAGATCCAGCTTGCCAGGGAGACGGAAGCTACTGAGGCTGCCCTTGCAGATGTTCTGTGTGCGGCTGCTGCCGCCTTGTCTCCCCCGCGAAAATCCATGGCATGCAGTAACTCATGACTTGTTCATGAAGACGTTGAGTTTTACGTGTAAGCACGCAAACGGGCTTTTGAGTGAAGTGTGAGCTTTAGTCACTTGCCCTAATTAGAAAACATTGTCCACCCTCCCGATAACCTCAATTCGCAGGGTTGAAATAACTAGCATGCTTGAAAGAGACATACAGGGACCAAGGTATTTCGTATGCAAGAAGCAATCACGTTCTGGAAAGGTTGTAAGACTTCCGAAGCAAACCATTCTAACAATCATGCTTATGTGCTCATTAGCTGGCCCCTTTTAAACAGCAGCTTCGTATTTTTACATGCGATCTAGGTTTTGCGGCCTCCCGAGATATGATGCGGCTTCAAGAGATGAAAAAAGAAAATCGGGTGAACTCCCATGGAATGTCACTAGTCAGGCAAGGGTGCGGCGGATGATGCCGGAATTCTGGATGGCGTGGGATGCCACGCCAATTCCCAGGTGGAGCTTTCATTCAAGTTACAAGCTCGGGTCAGGGCCCTTCTGCTGGAGCTCTTGCGTGACTGGAAGGCCAGAGGTTTCGATGCCAGAGCCATCCATACTGTGCCTGGGTCCTTGTTGGGTATCAGCTTCCACTTCTGCGATCTCTGCCCTAAGGCATCATGTAATTGACAAGTTCTGTAGTTGTGTAACTCCTGAAAACTCCAGGTCCTCGCGCACCTCCAGCGACAGCTGTCTACCTTCGAGTCCAAGGTGGATATTGCGCTGGAATTTCCAAACCATCCCCTTACTAGTCCTAAGTTACGTGGTCTCACCAAATCCGGACAGGTCTATGGTTGGGGAAGAGGTGTTTAGTGGTTGTTTATTGATTTCGGGGAGGTGATACAGGGATGGTTTTGCCTTCGTAGTGTTTGTTCTGGCCACACCAGCCCGCAAGCGTAGCAACAGTAAATTGGCAATGGCGCAAGTAGTCCTACAGAGCAGAACGGCCTGCCTCGCAAAACAGAATCTGAGAAATCTGAGATTCGAAGACCTACGAGGGAGCCAGAAGCTTTCAACAATCATGAAAGCTGAGTGCAAGCTAGGGGCAGCGGGTTTTCTTGAAAGCCAGAAGAGCACGCCCTGCCACCCTGTCCCCGCACTTTGATCCAGGACTTAAACTCCAAGACGCTAGGGCTAGGGCGACACCGGTGTAGGGGTCAACTCATGAGTTTTAGAGCCCATCCCACGGCTCTAAGCCCCCCAAAGTGAAACACTCAACCCTAAAAACCCTCAAGCTCAAGAAGTCTATACACCTCCCTGAAAATCGAAGCCCAAACCTGCAGAACCCAAAGCACGAAGCCAAGCCACAAGCCAAACAGAAGCCCTAAACCCCAAACCACAAGCCGGTTGCTGGAGGTTGGTGATCTTCACCTGGCCGCAGCATCGCAGGCTTGGCTTGCCATCCAGAAGGCCATGCGGCAAGTCCTGGGGGGGCTCTAGGTACTGGTTGTTAGTAAGGAACATGGGAATACATTATATAGGGATTATTTCAGGATTGTAAGTTATAAAGGGATTACATTACCATGTTCCTTATTCGCAAGCAGTAAGTCAAGCTACATCACTCAAAGCTGTTGATCCTTTTAGGTTGTTCTCTGTAGAGGTACTCCTTTTAGTTTGGTGTACTGTGAGAGAGGCCCTTTTTTGAGAAATATTGGCGCGTTCTGCTGCAATCCAACAAGCCTGTCCTGTACCTCAACTCCTTTCCCGCTCCATCCGCTTCGTATGAAATTTCGGGCTCTGCAACTCCTCTCTCCACCACCTCCTTCCACGACGTTGTTCTCCATCTGCCGAGTTCCGAGTTCTTCCGTTCCTGGGCGTTTTGCCGGTTTTGGCGGTGTAACTCCTAAACCTGCTAGACCCAAATTACTTCAACCCACTGCAGATATTTCAAGCTGCGCTGCAAAAGAGCTCCCGTGTTGTCTGCGCGTGCAGTTCCACTCTTGCTCGCAGCAACCCTAGCAGCAGTCAAGACTGGAGTGCCCAGAAAAGAATCTATATTATTTACTTCGAGCATCCCCACCCTAAAGCCGTTATTGCACAAGAAGTGTAACGTTTCCCTGCCCCCCTTCAGCTGTCTTGCTGGTACTCTGCGCTTGGGCACTGGGGGGATACTTTTCGGTTGGGCCCTG